AGGGAAACTCTAGGTATGAACAGAGTTAAACAGGTGTCTTTAATATAAGACATTTCTGACTTGTCAATATGCTAATATGCATTGTACAGCTCAGAGAGGTGGCATTTTGGCAATAACTTGACCAGCTCCCCACTTTTCTAAAACCACACTCTGTAAACTACTTGTTCCAGTGTTGAGTCACAGCTTGGTTCACAATAAAAATCTCAATTTCCAGGTCTAAAAGTATTGCTCCATCCTCTCCCCTAGATTGTAACCTCTACAACCTGGATCTAACATCCATCTTGTTGGTAAGCTTCATCCACCATGCTCTCAACAGTGCCTGACACACTAGAGGCTAATAGTTGTCGAATGAAAAAAGGATGGGGTGGGGTGTGGTGGCTCAAGCCTGGTAATCCTAGCACTTTGGGAGGCTGAGGCAGGAAGATTGCTTGAGCCCAAAAGTTCAAGGCCAGCCTGGGCAACATGGAAAACCTCGCCTCTACAAAAATTGGCTGGGTGTGGTGGTACGTGCCTGTAGTCCCAGCTACTTGGGGGGCTGAGTTGGGAGGATTGCTTAAGCCTGGGAAGTTGAGGCTCCAGTGAGCCATGATTATACCACTGTACTCAAGCCCAGATGACAGAGTAAGACCCTGTTTCTAAAAAATAACAACAATAAAAACTGATGAGTCAATGTGTCTTTCTAACAAGTTCCAAAAATACAAGCATTTTCACTAAGTGGTTCTCAGATATTTGTATGCATCAGAATCATTTGCAGAATTACAAATACGCTTTCCTGTGCCCAGCCTCCTCGAGTTTCTGTTGTGGACAAAGAAATGCACATTTCCAGCCCTTCAGGTGAAGCTACCATAGTTGATCACACTCTGATAATCACTGTCCTGACAAAAAGGATCACTAAGACTATTTTTGAGCAGCAAAATTTCTTAGATCTCTTAGTACATAGGAAGAAAGACGCAAGTTTGTTCTGTTAGAAGACAAAATTTAAAAATACAGGTAAAAATTGTAAGACTGGTTGAACAGCAAGATGAAGAGTCTTCAACAAGGTCATGACTTGCTGGATGTAATGACTTTCTCATCCCTGTGTTAGTCAGAGGGAGGCTGGATACAGCAGAAAGGACAGACATGGCAGATCACGATGAGATTAGCTTAATCTGTACCTCTGAGGTTCTGGGACAAAGGCTGCAAATCCCAGTACCTTCACAGATTATAAGGCCACCTGGTATAGAAGACAGAGGTGACCTTTTCTAGGTTGCATGTATAAAAGCATTCAAAAATTTTAAAATAATCATCTCTAAACATAACAGTAGGCAGTATTTACTCCGGGAATTGTGCAACCCTGTTTCATGAATTATTCCAAGTAAGTAACAACCACCTCAACTCTAGAATAAAGTGAGACCTGTGAGTTGGCAGGGGAGGTGGGTGCATTTTAAGAAATTATTACAAATATTTTAAACAGGTTAATTCTGAATTATTAAGACAAATTCTCTGCTAGGAAAATTTTAGCTGGAGTATGTATGCATGCATGTCTGCTTATATGTATGTGTGTACATATGTATTCACTATTATAACCATTCTACCATTTTTCACTTTCTTTGTGGACTTCTCTAGCAGTCAAGATAATGGTAGATTCCTATTAGTACTTTGTCAAATCATTTAAAGGTGACATTGCTTTCCTAATATACACTGCATACACACGAGAAAATTGCTACCACATCCAAAAGGATCCTAAGGCCAGTGGTCTGGCCCCACTCAGAGAAACACTGATATATAAACTTCAGGTGAAAAAGTTTCATCTCCCAGTCTCATTCATCTCTTCTCAGTCTCTGTATTAACAGAAGAAGAGTGGCTGTCTCTCATGGCATGTTAACTCGATGAGTCTCTCCAACAAGCCTGTTAAAGGCTTGTTCCTTTTCTGAACTCTTGAATCTACTATTCTGAATCCATTACTATAGTTGCTAATTAACTCTAGAGGAGTTATGAACCCCTGATTAGCCAAAGAAGCTGAGCAATCTCTATAAGAAAATGTAAACAAAAAAAATGCATTCAATTTCATTAACCATCAGAACAATGTAAACTACACCCATAATGTGGTACTACTTCACACCTATCAATCAGAACAGCTAAAGTGGAAAAATAGGCAATATCAAGTGTTCAGGAGGATTTGGAGCAACTGGAACTCTCATACACTGGTGATGCGAGTTTAAATTAGCACAACCACTTTGAAAAGCTGCTTGTCAGTGCTCATTGAAGCTGAACATATACAGGTTGAGCACCTCAACCCAAAAATTTGAAATCTGAAATGCTCCAAAATCTGAAACTTTTGAGTACTGATATGACACTCAAAGAAAATGCTTATTGGAGCATTTCAGATTTTTGCATTAGAGATGCTCAACCAGAATATATTCTGCAAATATTCCAAAATCCTCCCCAAACTGAAAATCCACAACACTTCTGGTCCCGAACATTTCAGATATGGAATATTCAATTTATACATACTCTGTGCCTCAACGACTTTATTCTTAGGCATGTGTCCAAAAGAATGTGTCCATAAGTTCATCAAAATGCATATACAGGAATGTTCAGTCATACCAGCCCCAAACTACTGGTACGGGTATAAATTAGTTCAACTATTGTGGAAAGCACTATGGCAATTTTTTGAAGAGCTAAAAGCAGAACTACCATTTGACCCAGCAATCCCATTACTAGGTATGGGAGGAACATAAACCATTCTAACATAAAGACACATGCATGTGAATGTTTATTGCTGCACTATTCACAATAGCAAAGACATGTAATCAACCTAAATGCCCATCAGTGACGGACTGGATGAAGAAAGTGTGGTACATATACACCACGGAATACTATGCAGCCATAAAAATAAACGAGATCAGCTCTTTTGCAGGAACATGGGTGGAGAGGAAGGCTATTATCATTAGCAAACTAATGCAGGAACAGAAATTCAAATCGCACGTTCTCACTTGTAAGTGGGAGCTAAGTGATGAGAAGTCATGGACACAAAGAAGGGAACAACAGACACTGTGGTCTACTTGTGGGTGGAGGGTGGTAGAAGAGAGAGGAACAGAAAAGATAACCACTGGGTACTGGGCTTAATATCTGGGTGATGAAATAATCTGTGCAACAAACCCCTTTGACATGAGTTCACCTCTGTAACAAACCTTCACTTATACCCCTGAACCTAAAAGTTTAAAAAAAAATGGATAGAAGCATTGTGAAATCCTCATAAAGAAAAATGTATGATTCTACCCATGTAAAATTTTGATAATATTAATCTATTACCCTGAGATTATTAATATAAGACAATTGATCAGATTTCTCATCACTCACAGAGTGGAGTCCTGAGAGTGCTAAACATGAGGAGGCTAAGTTTTGCTGAAAATAGAACAGCTATAGGGCAATTATCCCTGCCAGGAACCGCTATAGCACTTTCCACATAAGAAATCATTGAATCCCCACTGCCCTGTGATGTAAACTCTTGTTATTCCCATCTTAGAAATAAAGAAACTAAGGCATAGTTAACTCTACTTAACACAGTGTTAAATAATTAGTCCAGGGTCCTATGAGTAAATGCTGGTGTGAGAATTAGAACCTGGGCAGACTGCTTTTAACTACTGGTATGTGGAATGAGATAGTTTAAGCCAGTATGGTGGGTTGTGTAAACTCCTCCTTTAGGATACTGGAATAGACAGAAGAAAGAGAAATACAGAGGGGATGCTAAATAAAGACCAGGAGATCTGCCACAACAAAACAAACAAACAAACAAACAAACAGAAAATCAAGATATAGTCATGTGTGCATACACAGGTGCACGTAACCATGTAATAATATGTAGGTCATTGGTGAGCCACGTTCATCATTTTAAATAGACCAAAGGAAGAATACCATGATTGTGGTTGTAAAGAGAGGTTTTAGCTAAATTTCAGGCCAAAATAGGGGGAAAAAATTTAAAAAGTAACTGAAAGTTTCAACTAATGAAGAACATGGGAGTCCTTATTCACCCGCACCCAAGCCACATCTTGCTTTGTGCCATGATGTACCATGTACATTACTAACTACATTCTCAGCTGGGTTTTCTCATATTTTCCTTCTTCTGGCCATGCCAGAGCATAATTGCCGTGTGTCTCAACACACATCAACTCTTCTGTCAATTCAGGACACTTCTCAATCACAACACAGAATGAAATCAACCCAGAACACCATTTACCACCTCGTATATTTGATTGAATCCTGAGAAGAGTATCATTTACAATGATATTCTTGGCCTGGTGCTCAGCAGATGAGGATTACATAGGCAGGAAATAACGCTTGTCCCAAATGCTTTTAAAAGGTTCTGCTTCCCTGGATGCCACATTGAATCCTGCCAGCCCAGGAACACAGCACACCACATTCTAAAAGGATGTCTTATGTGAGCAGGACACCAGCAACAGATTAGTTCAAAGAAAACAAAGGGCCTCCCTTCAGCAAAGTGAAGGTTGATCTTACCAGGGCTGCTGAATGCAATTTTGCTTTGAAATACAGTTTTCCCATTTCAAAGCCATGTAGACGCATGCAGCTTGTTAGATTTATAGAATGCCTGGTCTCCCAGGACATTACAAAGCGAATGGCATCCATCAAGTTAATTTCCTTGGGGATCATCTCAAACATGGAGAATGAAAAGTCCCAGACCATTAAACATCAAAAGAATGTTCTAAATGGTAATTAAAGTTCTATTATATTTTCTTTTTCTGGGAGCAGATTAGATTAATTCAATTGAGAATATTAGAAGTATCAAGGCTGACAGTGTGAATGTGTGGACTTGGCTCGAAGAGCACTTATACTGCAGACATCTGTTCACTCAAGTTACACAAAACACGAAAGAGGGAGCTCAACTCAGACTGGGGTGAACTTACCAAGCCAGCACACGTAGACACAGCGACAGAGGAGGAGCTGTCATTTCTGATAAATCCCTGATAGAAGCATTGCTGCACCTCGGGTTTCTGAGTCTCTGAAGCACCATCTTTTCCAAGTACCTGGACAATAAAGTGACTGCTCAAAATCGCCGAGGGCTTAAGTTCTAAGTGCAGTTCCTGTCCAAATGCTGAAAATCGGTAGTGCAGGGAGCTTCTGGCATTCTGCGCCGATCGCTTTTTCCTGCCGTTGTGCAAAATGTCGTGTGAAATATATGACCCGGCTGAGTCTACTTCTACTGGCGTGACAAAGACATAATCTGCAATGGGAAAAGTTTAGCTGTCAGCACCCAGAGCCCACAATTCCAAATGGTCACTTTCCAGCAGGCTGGCAAAGAGCAACACAAAACTCAAAGATATCTTTGTTCCTGTTGCCTTGCACCTAGATCAACTATAATTCAGAGCAGCACAGGAAGCAGAAGATCTGTCTCTACAATGAACTCTGCCACAGTCATTTCTACAGGTGCCCGAAAGCCAATCATGATTTTCATGAATTTGGTGGATGTCCGTGGAAAAATGTAACGCCTCTCGTCTGGAGAGAGATTTAGAATGTTCTTTTGATGTTTAATGGTCTGGATCTTTTAATATATTGGCCACAGAATCATGTATATAAAATTTAATTTTTTGGAAGATAAAGTTAATGAATATGAAACTACAAAATCAGGAATTTTCTTCAAGGAGGTTAATTTATCTGTGCTTAAACTGAATCGGGAGCATTTTGGCAGAGGCAGAGTTTACACTTCAAGTCCTAACTCACAGTGTGGGGTAGCTTCAGACGATATTTCAGATCATTAACAAGCAAGAGCATTTTCATATTTCCAATATTATTTGTGAAAAGAAAACTCTGGCACTTGTATCACCCTTAGCATTTTTACTGTGAGCTTTCACAGGGATGATCCCATTTAATTGTAAGCATAAAATACAGCACATGCACAAAAATGCCTCAAAATTCTCAGAACCCTCCTATATAGTCTGATGTATAAAATTGCTCAGGCATGTTGGTGGGGGAGTGGCTTATCAGGGAACACCTGGAAAGGCATGTTTAAAAATACATTCACCATTGCTCCCTAGAGCAGCACTAATCGCTGAATGTTCCAAAGAGGAGGAGCTAAAATCCAATTTGCTATTTGAAAAGCAAAGCCAGCACAGTGTTTTCTTTCACCAAACATTGAAGCTGAAAAGCATCATCCCACAAAATGATTTGGAATATGCCCTCTGCACATTAAAAACACTCCACATTTCCACTTCCGAGGCACAGAATGGGAAACTACTTTGGAAAGTGTTTAGAAAGATGTTGAATAACGATGAGGTATGTTTGAGTCACTTGGGTCCCCGGTTACTGGAGGAGGAAAAGGAAGAATTTCCCTTTCCCCTAAACAGTCAACAACTTTCCCCCTCCTCCAAAACAAACAAACAAACAAAGGAAAAGTGGAGCCCCGGTAGCTACCAAGGATCAATGAGTGATGGCCTAATTAGCTTCACATTAAAAAAAAAAAAAATTCTCCCCAATAGACAATAATTTTCTTCTGTTTATGAACCATCTGTGACTCTTATTCCTTGGGCAGCTTTCATTTTTATATTCTTTATGTCCTCCCACTCCCATTTTTCTTGACTTCGTCCTTCAACTAAAAATGCTATAAAATTGACACACATATTTTAAAATAATGGGGGGGGGGGAGTTTTTCCCTTCTCTTAACCTTGAAAATCTGAGCCAGACATACAATATTTTTCTTCTCTTAAAAATCTGATATATTGCTTTAAAGGGCTGTGGCTCTTGATTATGTGCAAGTCCTTAGAGAAAGTCTACCTCCTCCTCCTGTCAAACTAAAACTTAACTATGAAAATGCTTCCTGACATATGCAGAAGTTTGTTTCTCACTGTCTTGTCCCAAATTATCTGAAACTCTGCCTGCTCTTACTTGGAAGGCTCTGTAGGAACGTTATCCAGTCAGGCTTCTATGGAATCAGCCATCAAGGTCCCCCAGACACCTGCTACCAGCTTGTTTCCAAGGGGAAAATAACAGGCTATTGGTTACATTCAGTCCTTCATGGAAGAAGGGCAGTCAGTGTCCCCTGTAAAGAGTGATCTCTGACTGATCACTTCAGGAGCTGAGTAAGGGTGAGGCCTTTACAAAGTGGTGGCTGGGTCGGATATGGCCTCCAGCCATCTGATCCTGATGTAAGAATGAGGGGTGGTTTTAGAAACTGCAGCCTCTCTGTGGGACAAAAGGTGAATCCCTTCTGCATGACTCCATCCTGCCCCACTCCCCATCATGACCTCTTTACCCTGATAAGAAAAGGAGATAACTTTGTTAAACTAAAATTTACAGAATTCTAAAGAATCCAGGTTGAACAGTAAGGTTTTGCTAGACGCGTTGCGTCAGGAATCAGCTGTTCTCCTGTAGCTGATGGGAAACAATCAAAACAAGGATTTCCCTCTGCGCGCCACTGGGAAGTTAATAAATGACAGAAGTGAGGGATGTTCTAGGAAGTTTGTGGCTGCGCGACGTCAGAAAAGATAAAGGACTCAGAGACCTCAAGTCACCTGCTTTCCTCTCTCTAAGAGCAGCCTTAGGCATCCGTGAAACAAGGGAAGCAAAAAGGAAAGAAAAAAGAAGAGATAGAAAAGGAACAAAAGTGGAGAGAAAAATAAGGAAAGATGGAGAGAGGAAAGAGGCTCACATTCTTTCATCTCCCACTAAGAATTAGCTTCCCCCACCAAGAGTTAGGAGAGGGAAGAAATAAGTAATTCCTTAGTTAATGTCCACCTCCCTTAGAATTTCTCACTGCAGTTAAGGTTTTTGTTTTTTTCTTAACAAGCCACCTGTGAAGGAGAGAGAGTATTTTCTTTTATGTGACTTGCAGCTTGGGGCATTGATTCTTTTGATAAGTTCAGTCCTTGCCAACCTTCCCCTCTCTCCAAATAGGAACCATTTCCAAGACAGCGCACACCTGCCAGGTTAGGGGGTGCACTTTTCCATCTTTTCTGTTTTTGGGGGAAGGAAGGGACAAAGTGCTGCGAAAGGCCCTTCTTGGGGGTGGGGGGCAAATACGAACCATCATTTAATCCGCTGGCGCCGCTGCTGCTGTCACTGGCTAAGGCCGCGGCGACCGACGCACAGCAGAGGCAGCACAGCTGGAGCGCCTGCAAAAGAAAAGGTGACATCGCGCGTGAGGGGCGCGGTGGGGCTGGCGTC